AACGCCAGGGGATGAGATGCTATTGTGCATGATGTCATGTGGTAGAATTAAAGGTAATTTGATCTGAACACAATTCATGAGAGATTGATGACAACTTGATATTAGAAACATCTGCCACTTCTAAAAATGGATAATCAAGATTAAATAAAAAAGATACCCAACTCAAAGTTAGATTAAGTGTCTGTGGAGTGCTCAGCTATAAAGGGGATCTCTATAACACATATTCTCTTCCCAAGGTTCAGGGAACATTATGAAAGAGGGTGTGGAAAGGTTGTGGGAAGACTTGGGGAAGACCAGGGGGAATGGTATCTTTTTGCGTGACAGAACTGCTGTGCTCATAAACTCACAACAGCTATGGTTGCCTTCACAAGATCTTCACAAAATCAAGCCAGTCACCATTATAGCCCGGAGTGGAAAGGGATTCATGAGCTCTCAACTCCTAGCTGAGAAGTTATTGACAGTTGTGTTGTGGGATATTTGTACACTATGTGAAAATGTGTTGCTGTGATTGGTGTAATAAAATGCTGAATGGCCAATAGTTAGGCAGGAGATATATGTGGGATTTCAGGGCACAGAAAGAACTCTGGGAAGAAGAAGGTGGAGTTGCTAGCCAGACATGGAGGAAGTAGCATGACCAGTACAGAGAGATGAGGTAATGAGCCACGTGACAAAATGTAAATTAAAATAAATGCGTTAATTTAAGCTACAAGAGCTAGTGAGACAAGCCTAAGCTAAGGCTGAGCTTTCATAATTTATTATAAGTCTCTGTCATTTGGGAGCTGGCAGTACAGAGACACTCAGTATACAGTTGATGGCTTGTAGGGGATGGAAAATCAGTTTTCTTTGTGGTTGTCACCCTTGGTAGATTGACCGTGCTTTGTGGATGTCCCCACATGGTTACCCATATGAACAGCACTATTTAGACTTACTGAGCTACATAAAAATGTACACAAAACTGGGAGCATAATGTTGGGTGGATGAATTTGATCGAAGTACATTGTATACATGTATGAAATTCTCAAAGAATGAATAAAATATCATAGTAATAATACCTAAAGTATGTACAAGAGACAGCTTCTCTTCCCTGCTCTGTCCATTTTCAACTCATTCATACTATTCACACAGGATAAGACTATACTGCATTCAACATAAATTTCTATCACTAGGGGGCAAGTCAATACATTTGGAGCAAAAAGTTTTACTTCCATAAAACTGAACTCTGCAGCCTTTAATTGGATTATTAAATCCATAGAAAAAGGCCTTTAGCATCTTTCAAAGATCAGTGACACAAATTTTGCAATTGTTCTGCTTAAGCGCTTCGCCTTAATGACTTTACTAATAAATTATGGTTTCTGGCAGGAGATAAATTCCTTAAACATTTCTCCATTCTAAATAAATGCAGAATTACTGGGGTGCCCTGATGCCATTATTTGATTTATAAGCTGAACAAAGTATGGTAAGTGGGAGAATATTTGATGTTTAGAACATGGCAACAATCTGGATGTCTGGAGACTTCCTGGTTTGGAACAGAGCCCATCATGCTTTTCATCTGTCTAGAATCTCTGCCCTTATACACAAAGAGAACCTTACTTAGACTGCAGACCCCAGTACACACTTGCCCAGCTACCAAGAACAGATTTTACTTCTTGATTTCCATTATTCTCCTGCAGCCAGAGTCACAGTCCCTGATGCATGTTGGTCAAGTGCAGAAAGCAGAAAGGATGTGTTGCTTGAAGTCCAGCATGCTCAATCACAAAGTATCTTCACCTATTCCAGGCACTTTGCTATGTAATATATTTCATTAGACACAAAATGATTTGTAAAACTGCAGTGAGCATTTAGGAAGAACGCACATGAATTATTTGACAGGACAACATGTCAGGACACTTTGGAAACGATTCATTACAGGCAAAAGCAGTCAGAGTAAGCACTGTAACTGAAATCCATTCTTTGGATAAGTTGACAAAAAAAATTATACTGCATTATCCCACAGCAGTAAAGCATATGTTATTTGATTTCCTGTCACAATTAGGGGAACTGATAGGTTTAAAATTGTTCAACTTACATTCAATACAAGTAGTTCAAACTAATGAATAAGTATATATTGACAGCAAGTATTATTTGGTGTCATATTTCAGCTATGAGAGATGCTTTGAGCTTCAAGTTAAAAATAAAACGACAAATAGATAGGCTATTTATAGGCATCAGACTCTTGGGAAACAATGTTCTATATATTGATTCACATTATCTTATGAAGATTAAAGTCAGGACTAAATGATAGAAGATCTAGGAGGAACTGTTGATATTTTTATAAGAATTTAGAGGGATCAACAAACTGATGACAGATGCTGACTCTAATTTGCGAACACACATCTCTAGTCTGTTTGGAACAGATATGAACTTTTGTTTATACTACTGCATTTATAAATTTTTGCCCTAATCTAGCATTATTATTTAAATTATTTTGACAAACTCCAAATAATATCAAAACTACTTATATTCAATTTTAATCTATAAGTAAATTCAGATGCTTTACAAAGAAAGTGTAAAAAACAGCTCACAAATTTATGAAAATTTGGACAGAAAAGAAGAGAGAAAAAGCAAAAAGTAATGGAATGGGAGCACAAAGGGTGCAGGTCTAAGGGTGAACATAGATGTTCAGAAGGACAGAAGGAAGGGCAGACAGGGACCAAAGTAGATCACTGCTTAATGTTCTTATTGTTTAATTGAATGCCTATTATTCAATTTAACATATCTGATGCATGTTTAATGCAGTATATTATAGTTGAATCTAACTATAACATCATATTACAGCATAGTATATTGAAGTGAAAGGTATGTTGCTATTTACTTTAGGAGTCTGGTTATTTTTATTGTCTGTAGTTTTATATCAGAATACAAGTTATATTTATGTGATTATTCTGTTATCTTGGAAATGTTCTCAGGATTGAATTTGCCTGCTTTAGTAAAAAATGACTTCTGTACAAGTCACATCAGTGGAATCATATGAGACATCTGTCTTCCCACATCACAGATGTATTTCACAGATAGTGATTTGCATTTTCTGTCTTTATGGTACAGTGACATCATGTTATGCTTTTGACTGCACTTTGTTTTAGTGATGCAACACTTGTAGTAATATGGTCTAGATCAGGAACAATATATGCAGGCTTGACAAAACTTGAAGACAGGGTAGGAGAAGGTCATAGCAGGGCAGCTCTGAGGTTGAGAGTCTGCATAGCTGCAATTGTGATAATGTAATTTTAAAAGAAGAGACACAGCCAAAGGAAGGGCTTTTAGGGAGAAGAGAAATTCACTTGAGGTTGAGGTGTAATTATTACTTTATAATGGGTTGCTATGGCTTTGAATTCCGTGGGCTTGCCAGTCCCAGATCATTAAAAATCACTTTAAAAAAAGCTCCATTGCATCACTCAATAGTCATGTTCCAATAATAAATCAAAGTGCTTTGAAGAAAGTACCAGAAAATATTAAAGTTATTGAGCAAAGTTACAGAACTCTGCAAAGCTGTGTCTGTACATCCCTAAACAACTCTTTTTTACCTGTTTGCTCCATGAATAGTGAATTTTCAGAAGTTTATACAGATTCTACATAGGGATAATGTCACAGATTTGGGGAAATAAGTGAGTTGTTTGCTCATGTGGTCACGTGCATATTATAGTTACTTACAACAAGAGTTTACATGTGGGTAAAGCTCCTATATTTCCAAAGCACTTCAAAAAGCTTTAGTCACATTTTAATCTATAAACAATTCTACAGACTAAAGAAGTATTGACATATTGAAGTTTGCCACTCACGTCATCTTCAGAGTATAATTTGAACAAAAATTGGCCTTTAAGTAGAACTTCCACCTAATTTTGGTGATATGCTGTTTCCAAGGGTGAAGCTAGAACTTGTGCCTTTCCCCCATGACATTTTTTTTCTCACATGTAATGACTTTTGTATTCTTTTGTTTGCAAGGATGAAGCGGAAGGAGGCTCCCTTTTCTCATCATTTTACTTAGGGTTCTAAATTGAGATATATTGTTTCCTTTGTGAATTTAGTAGTCAATATTTCATGACTGCATCTAGTCTTTCATTCTCTACTGTTGATTGTGGGCTTTTCTCTGTATTCCTTTTTATGTCTTTCTTACACTAACTGATTGTATGTTTTCTTTTGGATTTATGGGTATTCAGGGGAGTGCTGTCTATCCCTACTCTGCCATCTTTCTTCTCTCATAAAATCAGTGTTTTAATCATTCTATTTATTTGGTTCTTATCAAAGATTTCCTGTGTATTGAATATCAAAAATAAGCTGATTTTAATTCTTTCAGTATCACAACTCAATCCTAAGGAGATTAAAAAAAAATGTGGGCAGAGTTTTAATCAAAAGGGTATTTGTACATGTGGTATTTATAATAAATTATGATACATGAATGTATTGATGACATAATATCAAAAAGACAGGAATCAAATTGAATAATTAGCAGAGAAGTGTAAACAGTGGTTTGTTTGGGTGCCATTTTACAATGTTTTCTTAAGTTCTTTATATCTTTTTCAACTTAAAATTAAGAAACCACTTACCTCACCTAAAATCTTTAAAAATATGTCACTTATAAATCAAATTTACTGATTTTTTTAAGACAATTATAGCCTAAGAGCAAAATATTTGACAATCACTTTTTAGAATTATTATTTGAATAAAAGTAAATGATACATTGCAATTAAATTCTGTCAGAATGAATACTTTTTCAATTTTATATTTGAACTATGTCTATACATTAATAGTCACAATCTTCAATGTTTATTGCAATTATCTACTTTTGAAATTATATTGCCTCTGTTATCTCAACTTTTTAAGGTGTAGTGGTGCATACCTTTTGAACAAGCACTTGGGAGGCAGAGGCAGGTAGGTCTTTGTGAGTTAGGAGGTCAGAGTGGACTACATAGTGAGTTCCAGGCTACATCAGACACTGTCTTAAGAAAAAAAAGAAGACAAAAGAAAGAATGAAATTTTTTTTTTTGTCACAAAGGAATAGATCTCATTTATTAGGTCCCTAGAAAACATCTAACTATATAAAACTTACAGGGAAAAATGGCCATATTTGAAAACAGCTAACAGGATCAAAGTAGAACACAGGATGGTAATAAGCAGAGTCACAGAACACACTAAAGTGGTGTGTATAGTCAGTCCCACAGGAACTTGCAGGGTCAAATTCTTAAGTATTGATTTATACTGCATGCTGTTCCACTGGCAGATCTCCTCACTTCTCAAAGCACAGGGAGCTGCCACTTTTGACTGAGCCCAGCATTTCAAAACAGGGAACTCTTGGTCACAGTACATCAGTAACTCTGGGTTGTTGACCACAATCAGGGTGTCTCCATCTTTCTTATGTGGCCGATGATAGCGATGGTGCACAGGCAAAAAGGCCTGGAAGCAATCGATGCACTGTGCATCTTGTCGTGCATAGATGAGGACTTCGGATTCTTTGGACAAATAGTTGGGGGCTTCTATATTAAAACTTTCTGATACCATCACTGCTTCTGTTACGTTTCTCTCTCGTAATGAAGCCAACTCATACGGATCCACAAAAAATCCTGTTGGGATGTAATGTCTAATTAAGAGCCGGCAAGTCTGTAAGTCCTCAATGCTTTCTCCAAATTTCACTTTGATTACAAGGTCTCTGTGGAAACCATCTTTCAAAAATTCTTGCCTCAAAATTATTTCAGAACAAGTGGCCCTTATACCAGAGCTGAAGGGGGCATCGCTGAGGTCCGCGGCGAGCCTGCCGACCAGCCCAGCCGCCCAGAAGAGCAGCCAGGCCAGGGCGCCGGCAGCCAGGACGCCGGAGCGCCGACGCCCGGGAGGGGCACGCGTTACGAAAGAATGAAATTTATATTGCAAAATTTTGAGGTGTTTTTTAAAAAGATTTTTCTGTAAGAATTATTTTGTATGTGTGTGTGATGAGACAGATTCTAATTTATGAGAAAAATATTTCAACTCTAAAATTAACAATATCAATCATTCTTGTGATTTTTATTAACATATTTGTTTCCATATACTTGACAGGTTTGGGTATCACACTTTTTTTTTTTTTTTTTTTTTTTTTTTTGGTTTTTCGAGACAGGGTTTCTCTGTGTAGCTTTGCGCCTTTCCTGGAACTCGCTTTGGAGACCAGGCTGGCCTCGAACTCACAGAGATCCGCCTGGCTCTGCCTCCCGAGTGCTGGGATTAAAGGCGTGCGCCACCACCGCCCGGCCGGGTATCACACTTTTTGAGGTGCAGAGAGGAGATAATGTCTTTAAATTTTTCTCTATTTTCATATGGCTTGGAAGTTCCCTTTTAATGTAATTAAACTTAACTTGAGATGACACAGACAGCAGGAGTAATGTCTATAGTACAGGGTGAGTATGACCTCTGTTCGCTTTAGTTTCTGGGGTCACAACTTTCCTGAAAACCTAGGCACGTATTTGAGGCAAAGCCCTTACTTCTCAGTCTTATTGACTGAGATGAGGTTGTGGTGGAGTGAACTCATTCTTTAAAAGAATGTGTCTTTCAAACTAATGGCCTCTCTCATTTCCTGTAGGTTGTGTTGTGAAGGAGGGTGGACTATCCCACGAAATCTGGTACTTAATCTTCATTTGTTAAAGTCATGGATGTTGTGCTCCTGTGGTTTAGATAATATAAAGTTAAATTTCTGCTAGATTCAATTTCTACAAATGCTCTATTTTTAAATCACAAATAAGTTCTTATGACTTAACTAGTAAGCATGATGAATAAGAAAAATAATTCAGTGTGAAATAGTATTTTTTGTATTATTTATATAGTATATTTACTTCCAATTTTCTATAGTAATTACTGGAATATTATGGGATGATCATACTATAATTTGAAATGTTCATAAAACTCATCAGGTGGAAGTATATGTGTTTTAATTAGATTCATTTTATTCAAGAAATTTCCTTTAAACACATATAAAATTAATTCATACTTTAAACAAGACTAAATTTTGTTCATTAATAAATGTAAGTGATAGCTAAATGTGTATCTGACTACAGACCACAATTATTTTTCTTCACAGTGGCCTCATTGATTTGCATGATTATTCCCAAAGGTGGTTATAGAAATCCCAAAAGTTTTGACTTTTAAAGCTACTATGAGCACTTTTTCTATTTAATTATGGGTGTATTTTTGGCTAAATTTTTTTTGTTACAACATTACTGAGGTGATGATTATTATAAAACAATTACTTACAGAAATTACTTAGATTAAATCTTAGGTCTGAAACCAAGAACCATTCACCTATTGTCTAATAAGTGAATATTATTCATTTCTCAGAACCAGGAGAATGTGATGCTTGATGGGCTTTCAAAAACAGTATTCAGAGGCTCTGAGGAGAGAAATACAGGATCTTCTCCAAAGACATATTCTCTCTAATAACTAACATGGTGTGTGGAGGGCAAAGCAAACAGAAAGAGTATAGAAGAACAAGTTTGAGGGTAGTATTCTGCCTTCTGACAAGAAGCACCGCTAAGGGTCATAGCAGGAAAACAAGGGAAAAAGGAATCGTTAGTAAGTTCAGAGAGCTGTGGAGGAAATACAGGGCTATCAGCCTGCACCTGGCAGGGAGGTGAGGGAGGAGTGAGTCTGTATCTATTCTCCTTTCCTTTCTTCTCTCCATTAGAATCCAGAAGTTAAAGTCAGCCTCTTGGACACAGAGCCAAGCAGGGAAGAACAGAAAGCATAACTAGAGGGGAAATGGAGGAAATTTATATGACACTTGCTATTTGAGTTCAACAGTATAAAACAGGAGACAGGACAAAGATGTAAAAGGACTCTCCAGTGTTTCCAAGAAGCTCAAATCTGAACATGATTCAATGAACTCATTGGAAATTCAAATAACCTATCAGTAAGGTCACAAGCAGTAAACAAAGTGTATTTTACATACCCGATATTGAGAATGTGATTCATGAGCGAGTCTAGGTTTTCATGAATGGTTATGGATTTAGTTTTGGAATGACTCATACAATACCCTCAGGTTCAGTGGGGAAAGGGTTACAGAAATTGAGGGAGATATCATAGGTGTGTGCTTCACACTACCCTCCTGTGCCAGGCCCAGTCAGCTTTGCTGCAATGTCTTTGTCCGTGTGTGCTCTTGTACATAAAACTTATTCTGCTTTGACTCATGCACAGGCAGTGACAACCAGAAGGTGGACCTGGAAAAATATAATAACAAAAAGGGTAATCTGACATTATAGAAACAAGTCATGCTATGATTCAGAGAGCTCGAGTAATAGAATTACTTCTTAAATGTTTCTTAATTACGGAATATGCATTTTTATATGAATTTTAATTTTTTAACTTCAAATTAAATGTTGTGTAAGAATCATTAATTTATAATGATAAATGAATCTTTTATTTAACATTTATGTTCTCAGTATGAATAAAAAGTAATAATTTGATAACTAAAACCTTCATAAAATGAACAATTAGCCAAGAACACTTAAAGCAAGATCCAGGAGAGAATAATAATAATCAGTGTTTGCCCAAATAGGTTGATTTATCTGAATAAAAACATTATGGGCTGATGAGGCTTAGTGATAGAGTACTTGCATAGCATGCATGAAGCCCTGGGTTTGATCCTCAGTACAGTATACACTGGGCATAGTGGGGCACGCCTCTAACCCCAGCATTCAGGAAGTAGAAGCAGGAAGATCAGGGTTCAAGGCCAACCTGGGCTACATGAGGCACTGTCTCAACAAACAAAACTAAACTAAACAAACTAATAAAATAATTATGTGCATCAGTAAGATGCTCTAACAAATAGCATGTATATATATATATATATATATATATATATATATAAAATACTTTTAAAGAATCTTTACTCTTTTGCTATAGCACTTACCAATACAAAAAAATCTTAATGTAGTTTTGAAAAGTATCACAAATATAATTGTGTGTGTTTAGAGTTAGAGATTTTTTTCTTTTTGTGTTCTACATAAGCTAATACCACTATAACTCACCCCTAAAAGGTTTTTACAGGTTTTCTTAACTTTCTCTTGATCTATCTACCTACTGATCTGCCTATCATCTATCTATCTTCTTGCTTGCCTACCTCCATAATCAGCACACACAAATTATGAATAATTATGGTGTGACATATGATGTTATGCTGTGTATATTTGTTACATAATGCTCAAATACAACTAAACATACCTATTTCTTCAAACATGTCTTTGTAGTGATTTTTTTAAATTTTTTGAAATATCCAGTTCATTATTGCTGTCTATACTCATGTTAATGTGTAACAGAAAACCAAAATTACTGTTTCTGTCACATGCTGTCTGTACCCCCACTGCCCTACACTCCCACCTTATTTTTGTTCCTAAATGCAACTCAGTAGCTACTGAATGATTTTCTTCAGTAGCTCCTCACTTCACTTAGCCTTTAATAACCTCTATTATACTTTCAACTTCTATGTGGTAGATCTTTTCAGTTTCCACATATGAATGTGAGATTGCAATATATATACTTCATGCCTCATTTTACATAATTGTCCTTTGGTCCCATACATTATCATAATGGATGGGATTTCATTCTTTATAATGGTGGGATAGTATTCTGTTATATTTATGTAGATTATTTTTGGCACTTTAGTTTATTCTACTTGGCTATCATGACTAACTGCAATAAATTTGAGGCATGTAGACTTATTTTGAACATACTGAATTAATTTCATTTTATATACCTATTAGTGAAATTATTAGATTATATGGCAGTTCTATTTTTGATTTCTTGAAGAATCTCCATAATATTTTGGCGTCCAACATGGTGGCAAGAGTTTCTGAGAAAAAGATTCTAAAACGGAGCTAAAAACAGTTCCTAATTGTCTCTCTCAAATGAGCGGCAGCTGCCGGTTTGAGCTACTGGTGGGTTCCTAGCATGCGTGTGCGCTCGACCTGAAGTATGGCGGGAATGAGGCCTCTGCAAGTGGCACATTAAGCTGCATGGTGGATTTAGACTTTGCTAGTACAAAACAAAAAAAAAGAGGTTTCTGGGCTACACGCTGCTTGGATAAAAGCATAGACCCACGATAGCTCCCAGAGCTGGTGGTAAACATAGCCATGTAGGGAAGCTGAGGTGGGAGGAGCCAGCAGCCACAGCTGCTGCAGCTTAAAGTAATAGATTCACAATAAGACAGATTCAGATGTAATAGTTTAAAATGTGTGTAAAATATACGTAGGCTTGAAAGAGACAAAAAAAGGTGATATATACAGTTATATAAACAAATACATAGTTTTAAAAAATAAAGTTTTTAAAGAGACAGTAAAATTAATATAAAAAATAAGCCACGTAAAGATGAATATTACACAGAGAATCTGGATTGTGTTGTCTTTGGGATTCTTAACTGCAGAGAGATATTTGATTATAAAGGAAGCTGAGTTAAATCAATATGTATATTTTAAAGATACCTTGACTTCAAAATTTGGATATAAGGATATGTTGCTTTGGAAAAGAGTCTCTTTTGTTTCCACAGAAAGCCAGAGGCTATGGATTTGTTCCAGATTAAGATACATCAGGTTTGACCAGCCAAGACCCCCTGAAAGGTCTCTGATGACACCATGGCCCAGATGACCCAATATCCGGAATGGTTTCAAGGAAACTGGTTCAGACAATACAGCCTCACGGACTACTCCATGATCCTAAAATTTTCTTTGTGTCCCCCTAAGATACAGCGCCCCCCTCCAGCAGGAAGTAGTAAGAGAAGCTACGCCCAAATTACCAAATTATATGTAATTTTACTTTGTTAAGGTTAAAACCTTCCTTTTTGAAAAAAAAAAAAAGAAAGAAAAGGGGAAGTGCTGTGGGATGTTCTGTATGGCAAATGTGTTGCTCTGATTGGTCAATAAATAAAACACTGATTGGCCATT